CTGTTTATTTAAATTACAATTGTAATACACGAAACCTCTGCGTGCACACATATCTCAGATTTTTCTACATACATACCTTTGACCTAACAGCTGCTTTCAATATTTCAGAGGGCGTTAATCAAAATTCTGATGTAAAAGTCAATAATCACTTAAAGGGCTAATCGCGAAATCCTTTACATGTGCTGATCACGTTTTGCATGTTAGCATTCTAGGAATGCACCTTGACTTCTACGTTCATTTAAAATCTGAATAGTTCTCTACTTAAATAATAATTTAAAAATTATATTTTAAAGTTAAAATCACACTTTAAACAGCAAATTAAAAATGCTTTAAAACTTAAGAGCAAAATTCTCAGCTTTATTCATATTTTTTCTAGTCTTTGTCTGTCGCTATTACTCATAATATAAATGTTCATGAATACACATATTGAAAAGTATTAAATGTTTCAATAAGTATAAATTTATTTTTAAAATTTGCTTTAATACTGAAACTTTAAGAAATCGGAAGGAAAGTACTGCTTTGAAATTCATTTTTACTTAACACTAAATTGTCCAAAGTATTAATTTTGACTGCTTTTTAATTTCAATTAGAAAAACAATGATGTATATAATGACACAATTTCTTAGAATTTCATGACTTTTTGTACAACATATAATTTTTTTATTGTTAATATTTGCTAATAACTTGCTATATAACTGTAAATAATGTAAAAAAAAATTTTAAAATTAATTTTAAGCAAATTTATTTACGCATTTACAATCCTGTAATTTTGACTGCTTTTAGGCAATGTAGGCATATACTAATTTTCCGCCTTTCTAGTGTTAATAAATAAAGTGTCACAATAGGATCGCATGCAAATTAATGTTTCAGCAAGGAAGAAACATATACGATCAATAGAGAAATTAATCATTTATGAAAATTTAATGATTAATAATAAAATCAAGTAAAATCGAGATGAAAAACATGAAAACCAATTTGATTGTCTTCTAAAACTTGGAGATGTTTGGAACAACCGCCTTTCAATTCCCCTTTGCTTCCTCTGACAATAAAACTGGTCTTTATATTTTCCGTTCCACTTTCTCAGTAGTGATTCCTTAGATTCTGATAGCGTTTTAGTTTTTCTTCATTTAAATATTATTTTCTTACTGTCAATGAGCAGCTGACCCAATTTTTGGGTTTACAAATACTAATGTTCAACTCCAAAGCCTTGTAATTTTGAACCCAATCCGGAAGACAAGGTAACTCCTGGATCGAGTATTGGGAGAAATCTACTTTGCGAGGAGTTTCTGAAGGAACTAATCCGCATTTGCGTTACATGGAGAGGAAAAGCAAGTGAAACTCCCACGGTTAGCTTGATGGCAGGGGGAATCAAACCCATGATCGGTCTAAAACTGAGGATATTTTATGTCAACACTGAGGTCGGTTCGAGCTGGGAGCGAAATTCATATTGACCAACCATCGCTGGGATTCGAACCCGGTTCCCCTCATAGGAAGGCGAACTCTCTATCCCCTGAGCCACCACGACTCTAGCATTTAAATATTAATTGCGATCCATGGTGAGATTTTTATGTTAATAAAAGGATTCTAAAAGTATATATTAAGAGTGATGATTACGAAACGCATAAAATATTTTTAGGGTGTGAATTATAAATTTATAAAAATAAGCTTTTTTTTTTAATTCAATCACGATGGCTTTCCCTCTTAAACCAACTTCACAATAACGGATAACTGTGTTTTGCTATCGTTTTGATCATCTTTAATTTCGTTCTTGTACAACTAAGGTGACTGTAAAATGGTTGAAGCGTCCCTTCTAGAAATGTAGTTGATTCTTATTCAAAATGCTTCTTCGGCAAACTCAAATGCCACGGAAGTTGTCCTCAACAGTGGAAGAGAGTGATTTATCGTTTTCCGAGTAAAAATAGTTTTGTCGAAAGCATTATTTATTTTTATGTTCTACTAAACTGCATCCCATATTATCCTATACAGTCTTAATTATAATAGGTGAATTATTTAATAGCAGGAAAAAAATACCTACAATAACATGAAGTCGATACACTTTTGATACACCATCAATACAGCTTCAATACACCGTCGATACACCTTCAATACTTTTTAAACTTTTAATACCTTTACTTTAATGCATTTGTAAACTTGACAACTTAGAAACTTTAGACGCGGCTAAAATTCGTGCAATTGAATCTAGACATAGCACGAAATTCGTGTAATTGAATCTAGACACAGCACGAAATTCGTGTAATTGAATTTAGACACAGCTCGAAATTCGTGTAATTGAATCTAGACGCAGCAAGAAATTCGTGTAATTGAATCTTGACACAGCACGAAATTCGTGTAATTGAATCTAGACACAGCACGAAATTCGTGTAATTGAATCTGGACGCAACACGAAATTCGTGTAACTGAATCTAGACACATCACGAAATTCGTGTAATTGAATCTAGACGCAGCACGAAATTCGTGTAATTGAATCTAGACACAGCAGGAAATTCGTACTAATGAATCGAAATATAACACACAATTCGTGTTAATATTCTAGACATAATAAGACGCTAATAAACTGATACATATTACAAAATGTGCCATTTCAATGTTTGACAATGAAAAAATTTTTTAATAAAAAAAAAGCCGTGTACCAAATCAATAAGATATTTTTTAAACATTACGAATAATTCTTATTCACTAGCATATTCTTTTAAAATACAATAACCATAACATTAGTTTAAAAATTTGGAATCAAATGATAAGTTCATTTTCTTAAATAGGTATGACCATTTTCTTAAACCCGCACTTGGAGTTACGTTCGATTTTACAAACGAGCATTTCAAGTTTTGTCCATTTTCTTAAGCGTGCAGTTTAAGCTTTGCCGTAAATAAAAAAAATCGCCGACCGTAAAAAGGTTCATTTTATAACTTTATAAAGATTTCATAAAAAAATTACCTTATAAAACTTTGTTTTCTTTGCTCTGAGAAATATTTTAGTTAAATATAATAGAATATTTAGCTAAATATGACTCTCCTGGATTAGTTTTCAATGCACTTGTAATGTCTTGAAACTTCTCTTCCAGCACCATCCTTACGGAATGTTGTAATTTTATCTAAATTTTATCATTTTCTTTTTGCACTTTTATTTTAACACCGTTAATTTTTTTGCCATCATCGTCGATGAAACGTGGAAAATAAGATTCTTTAGCTGATAGTACTGAAGATTAATGTTTGGTAAAAGGAATGCACTAATTAAATTTTCTAGAGAGATTAAAAGTTTATATATTAAGAATATTTAGTTCGAATAATAGGGAACGCTTTTCTATTTTCAGGAAGTATTTTTATTTAAATGTTTTTAAATTTAAACTATTTTCTTAAAATCTTAAATTACCTTATCGTTATATACTATAATTAAGGAAGTTTCTAATTTATGAAATTAAAAATGGTAATAAAGCGCGAACCATTAATTTCAAACAGAAAAGTGATTGTATCGGGACTATTGCGGGTAAAGTGAGCCGCAAAAAGATAACAAATCGAATAACTTTTGTTTTAACGATCGAATTTCCTTGAACTAAGTGCCAATCATTATGATTCGAAGGATAACCTTAATATATGCTAATTAAATATTTTTAACTATTAATTAATCTATGACATCAGACTCAAAAACGTACTTTTTCTGAATAAACAAACATTTCTTTAGACATATTTAGACTTTTGATAATTAAAATATGAGGAGAAGCTAGCCGCAATCTGGAAAATATGGTTGTTTCATGAGGGGGCTGTCGAAAGTTTGGGTCCCTTAATGTCAACAAACCTTCCGCGTTAAACTTTTGCGTATTTTTCTATATCTATCTTCGGAGCTAATGAAACGAATCAATACGTTTTTTGCAGACAGTTATTTTGTAATTATTTATCATTTTTATAATTTAATTTAAGAATAATAAAAAATAAAAAAAAGAATTGCAAGGTATACAAATTTTTAAACAATTTTCAACTACAAAATTTTGAATGACAAAATCCAAAAAAAATTGGTCTTGAGAAATAAAAATTTAAAAATTATACTACAGATGGCGATGCACGTAAAAAACGAAATTAATATAATATATCCGAACTTTCAAACGCAGTCCTCTCTTAACTATCTTCCAGTGTATGACTACTTTCGGTATTTTGAGGGACACAAATCCAAATCTGTTAAAATAAAGCATGTTTTTTAAGAGAAAGTGTGTTTTTGTGACTGATTTTGTAACTTAAAATATCGTCTGCAATAAAAAATTAGCAAATTTAAGGTTTGGCTCTTGAACCATCAAGATTGAGTCAATGAAAATCCAATCATTATATTAAAAGTAATTATGTCTTATCTATCCGTACGTATTATCCAGTTGTTTGACTAATCCAGCCGCAAATTTGATAGCACAAATCCATAATAAGAAAATCCAATTACAAAAAACCATCAAGATTTAGTCTTCGTAAATGAAAATCCAATCATAAGATCAAAAGTAATTACGTCTAATCCATCTGTACGCATTATCCAACTGTACGCATTATCCAACTGTACGCATTATCAAGCTGTACGTCTTATCCATCTTAAGTCACTAGCTGCAGATTTGATAGCACAAATCCATACTAAGAAAAACAAACATAAGAAGTCATCAAGGTTGTCTTTGTAAATGAAAACCTAATCATTAGATCAAAAGTGATTACGTCTTTTCTAGAAGCTGCGTATTTGATAGCACAAATGCATAATAAGAAAAACGCGCAATATAAGAGGTGTTCCACAATTTGAATTGGTCTGTTACTTCCTATCATTTTGATTTATTACATCACTATTACTTAAATTATACTTCTCGAGATAAAACAAGGAGTGACTATATTTTTTTGTCTGGTGAGCTTATTACAACATGAAAATTAGCTACTCTAAAAAAACTAAAGAAGTAATTGAAATTTAAATCAAAGTCTATTATTTTCCGTAGTAGAAAAAAAGAATTGATCATATTCTTTTACTCTATTGATACCACGAATCATATAAATAATTAGTTTTTTCATTGTAGGAAGCAGGAGAACTGCAACACAGATTATATGGTGGACGGTGCAATCCTTATTTCATTATAAGTCTTTATGACCAGAAAGGATTCAACAAAAAGAAAAGACGCAAATCTGGTCCAATACCTCTTCATCAATTTTACTCGACGGTGGTAAAAAAAAGCCAGCATCCAGTTTTCAATGAATCGTTTTTCTTCCCGATGGAAAACAATGGTTTGAAGAAATGTACTTTGAAACTGGAAGCATGGGATCAAGATAAATTGGCAAATGATACAATTCTTGGGGAAGTTAGTTTTAATTTGAAAGATATCGCTTCCTATCTTTCACAAGAGCCATCCAAAGAAATGGATCTCAATCTTAAACTTCAAGAGTCAAAAGTTGTAAGTATATTAAATGAGTTTTTTTATATCTTATTTCTTTAGCCCCTTAACGATCGGGAAATTTTCAAGAAAATGGTCATAAAAGTGCCTATTTTTTTGGCTTTTGTATTTGTANAACTAACTGTCTACAATTACCTTAAAAATATACTGGCACTGCCAACAGGTGTGTAAAATGAGAAATAAAATTTTTTCCGGGGAAAAGAAATGAATTAGATTTATCTTATTGGCGCGTTACTACTAAACACTCCAGCCCGTCAATATCACGGAAGCGAGAAATAGAGGGCGAAACCTCACCCCGTCATTTTCACGGGAGCGAGAAGGAAGGGGTTAATGGCTTTATGTAAAATTTATGTATATCAATCGTCTTTTAAGTAAGTCAAATCCGTTTTAATAGTCCTTCTTTCAACTTAATATTATAACCGTTGTTGAACAGCTGACCCAATTTTTGGGTTTGTAACTTCTTATGTTCAACTCCGTAGCCTTGTAATTTCGAATCCAATCCGGAAGACAAGGGAACTCCTGGATCAAGTATTGGGAGAAATTTGCCTTCATGGAGGACTTTTTGATGGAACTAACCCGCATTTGCGTTACACGGTGAGAAAAACCACTTAAACCTCTCACGGTTAGCCTGACGGCAAGGGGACTTTAACCCATGATCCATCTACCACTGAGGATATTTCACGTCAGCACTGTGGTCGGTGCAAGCAGAATTCGTATCGACCAGCCATCGCCGGGATCGAACCCCGGTTCACCTCATTGAAAGGCGAACGCTCTATCCCCTGAGTCATCCTTCCAACTTAGTAGTGAATAACACTGAGGAACAATTTTCTTTCTTGTTTTCTGCTGAAAAAAATTTTTTAACAGATCTTAGATACTTTCGTATCACGCTGATTTCAAATCTACAATCGATTTCGCTTTCTAGGCTATAGTTTGTTCTTAATTACATTTTAATAGTCTATTCTTTGCTGAAATGTACAAGTTTAAAAACTTTATATGCAGCGGGGAGTCGCATAAATGATGCGACAAGCTTTTAGGGAAGTTAGACTACATCATCTGAATTAAAACTGCATAGAAACCCGTAAATGTCGTTATATGCTAATGTGGCCGCTTTTAATTATAAATAGTTTATTTGTGTGCTTCGCAACAGGTCATAATAGGGAAATTATCTTAAACCGCGCATGACATTTCCGATCATGGGTTCCTAAGCAGTTTTAATCCTGATGATGTGCCCTAACTCCCCTAAAAGTTTTTATTTACTTTTACGCGACCTCCTTCTATACATAACGTTTTTAAATGTGCACATTTTGGCAAAAAATAGACTAAAAATGTCATTTTTTAGAAGAAAAAAATCTAACTTTAAGATAATAATTTTAATACTAATTTAATAATAATAATTTTAATAATTTGAGATATGAATTCCCCACAACCGAATTAGGCATGATAAAGTATTTGTATAGATGCAATAACAAAAAATTTGCTCCTCAGTGTAATTTTCAATTTTAATTCATAATTCAGTTAAACATAGATAATAGAAGATTTTGGTTATAAATAATGATACACGTATATGTCGACTCTTTAAACTCTCAAAATTCAACGAAAATCAGAGGGTCGACTAAGACACCGATAATAAAGACGAACATTCATTGATCCTGGTTCATCGATGCATGATAAAGAATGAGACATATATGAATAATATCAATTTACCCCTGTCAAAAACCATTTTTAATATGTAATATACAAATAATTTTGCATTTTCTCTAATCATATTTTCTTTACACAGAAAGTATTTTTTTAGACTTTAAATTACATTCAGGAAAAAAAAATTGAGAATAATAACAGTTAATTTGTGCAAGAGTATTTTAAAAATATATAGTACAACGAAAACTTTTAAAGCATACCATAAAGTTACAAATTTAAAGATTCTAGAACATCTTATGAGGTGGATTCAATAACGTTAACAGTGTCGTTGTGAAAAGTCCCACTCTGCAATGGAACTTTTGTACAACGACATCGATATTCTATTTCATCCTCCTCTGCTGAGTTTCCTAAAAATAGTCAACAACCCCAACGAAAAAATTAGAAATCACTCCCTTTTTAAAAGATTTTATAATAACATTTGAAACCTCATTTCGCCACGCGTCTGATATCATTTGACACATAACGTCTACAGGAATAATAGTCGACTTATACACTCGACTTACTAGAAATTTACTATCTCGTTATCAAAGATAGGGAGCCAACCTATTGACTTATACGCCAGAAATTTGCTATCTCGTAATCATAAATAGGGAGTCGACTTATACAACAGGATATACGATAATTAAAGGGAAGTAACTCTTATGTTTTACTTGCTCAAACAAAGTAAATTTTATATAGTTCGCTGTTTTTGAAAAGTTTTATATTAATTCAAAATCATCTTGCAAATAAAATTTTAAAAAAATTCTTTTTTTTTGCGTCAAACAAAAATTAAAAAAAGATTCCTTTTTTTTTTTTTGAGACGGGAAAACTACTATATCCAGTTAATTTAAGTTTATTAACTGATGATTAAATAATTTTACGGTAGTTAATTATAACAGCTACGGTTGATTATTAGACGTATAATACAACCATTTTATATTTTTTTGAAAGCTATAAAAGATTTTATGATATAGGATATTAATTCTGCGCGAGATTTCAGAAATGTAATAACATGATAAATCGTAAAAAAAAGTATAGCCATATATTTCGACATTTTTCTAATTTTCATGTTGTTGTTGACGTATGCCTATTTAGGCAAGGTGGCGCCATCTATGGCCAAGAATTCGACTTCTGCAACACCATACGTCGCACTCGTTTATAGGGCGCACCCATTCATACATCCATCCACAGATCGTAATTTTTGACCTGAATCAGAGAACAATTGATCTCCAATCCAGTACCCCCAGAGGTATAGATTTGTTATGGGAACATGGAGGACTTTTGCGACTCGACAGATTTAACGTGCATCAGTCACTTTACTACACGGGGAGTCTTTGGCCGGCGATGTTCGAACCCACGAACTCTCGGACATGGGCCCAGCTCCCTACCGACCAGGCTATCCCGGCCTCACTAATTTACAAAGGTCACTATTTTTGTTTTTTTAAATGAAATTTATTAACTCTCATGATAATATCGTATTTAATAAATATTATAATCAATAATAATCGCAATATTATCGTATTTAATAATTATCGTTATCAATAATAATCGCAAGAATATTGTACTTGGTATTTATCGCCGTCGATAATTTTCATCCTCCATCTGATATTTAACGTCATTGATAATTATCATGTATTATTAAATCTAATGATAATACGACATTCAATAATTAATTTAATCAATAATTGCAAGATTATTGTATTCGATATTTATCACCGGCAATAATTATCCAGGGGATATTTATTGTCATAGATAATTATCAAACATTTACAATTTTTTCTAAAGATATGGTATTCCCGAAGAACACTTTTTAAAATATCGTTAACGCGATGTCTAAAAAATTAAAAATATTTCACGATATATAGCTCTGCTCGAATTATTATACTAGCAATGTAAATTGGAGCTCTAAGCAAAGGACGTTTAATGAAACAAATTCCATTTAATTTTGTGTAGTCCATTGTTAAACCAATGCACATAATTCATAACACTCAAGAAGTTTCATACTTTGAGAAAAATACGTATTTTAATTGCATGTAGGCCCTTTCATCAAATAACGAGAATATGATTAATTCCCAACTCTTGCTTGGTCCCTTTTAAAATACTTGTATTAATGATTCACTCTAGAATCTAGATTAAAAGAGACATCCATCTCTATACAGATTTTTAAATCTCGAGTAAATCTGAGATAGAACATTCATTAGTCAAAAATCTAATTATAACCGCTTGTTACATTTTGATTAAAACTAACAAAATGGGCGAAAGAGAAATTAATCTTGTAAGAGACAAGTTCAAATTAACTGGTATATGTTTACCTAATGAGTATGATTGTATTATAAGCTTTTTTGTAAGAGTATATGTGTTACGAATTTCGTATTTTTAACTTAACTTTCTTTCGTTATTTGTAAAAATCAAAATAATTAATACTACTAATAACACATACTAAAATAATTCATTTCGAAATGACGAGTTTTTTAAGAAATATATTAAAAAAACGGAAGGACAAATAAAGAGTACGGTTTCCTGCTTTCTGCAAAAGGAACTAACTTATTCTCTTCAAGGTTCAAAATTAATAGCAAAGCTCATCACTAGATGGCACTGCTGATAGGAAAACTTTAAAACAATAATTTTTGGGGTAAAGCGTTGGTTAAATTTATCCTCAAATAACGCCACTGTTTTTGCTACAAATAGTTATTATTTTGAAAGCATTGTTTTATAGTTATTTCAGTTTGCAACACCGTATGTTAATGAACTATGTAATCATTGAAACTTTTTGAGAAGAAATAAACTAATTTCATAAGCAGAATGCAGCAAATCGTACAATTTAATCATCATTTGTTTTTCTTTAATTGATTCTTCAAATCCTCGGTTATTTTTGAGACATCCGCTATCCGAAATGCCTTGTAGGAAAATTTAATTAGAGTTTTGATTGATAAAGTAAAATTTTTAAAACAGTCTGCGAAAATATCGGTGAACACTTAGTTTGAAGTTTATATACTAAGTTTAGGTTTAAATAAATCGAATTAGTTCAAAAAAGTTTTATTATTGTTAAGACTTAAAAGATTATGGAGGGATGAAAAATTGAACTTCTTAGAAGTGACTTTTATATGAACTTAGCAGGTTCTACTTACTTATTTTAGTCGTCCTATTTCCCTTATTCGATTTTCTTCAGAATTAAAATTTTACAATAAATAAGACAAAGATTTTATGATAATATCATTATTACAAAATAACTTCATCAAAATCTTCAAAAACCTTTAACCATATTTTTACAAAAAGTCATTTTTATACAAATTAAGAATAAAACATTTTTTACATATTTTCTTCCTTTAGTTTTTTGGCTGCTTGGAAACGTCTAAATTCACCTAAAACAGATTTTTTTAAAAATCTAAGTTTTATGGAAAAATGTAGAGTGGTTCTTTCATAAACTTTAAAAATGCTTTTCCTTGATAAAAACCTTGTTCTAAACATGGTTTGATTAATGCAACGTGTCCCAAAAGTTAGGTAACACAAGAAGCTCTTCAATAAATTTCAAAACACAGATTTTTTACAATTACTTTACAGTAAGAATAATAAACAGGTTGAGAGAAAATTCAAGAGAAACGAAAGGCAAAACCTAAAAAAAATTAAAGCAGTAAAAAAGAAAATTTCAATTTTACTTGCCACTAAAGTAAATAAAAGTAGCATTTTTATAAATTATGTCACCTTAGAAAGTTGTAACATTTCCAGTTGTCATCATTAATCCTTGAAGTTTAAAGTAGTTTTCTGCATTAAGAAGTTTTGATAAAAATAATCTGAAATAAAGTTTATTTCAGAAATCTGACTTTAAATAAATTACTCAATGGTGAGAATTACAAACCACAATTACGATATGAAGAACCACATAGGTCAACTTTGAGAGGAGATAGAAAAAATCATAAATTGGCTTTAAACTGTAATTTTTCCACTTGGTTTACCATTTATTAATCATGGTCTTAAAATTTTCACATTTAAACATTTAATGCGTAAAAGAATTTTTTATTTTTAAGGTGTATTTTTTATAGCAGTTTTGTTTCTTGCTTACATACTAATTCTCGATATACATACACATCTTTTTTAACTTCATTTTTGGCAAGAATTTTAAAAACATAGGACGGCGATTATAAAACACCCTGTATACATTTAATTTTTCTTTTCCGGATAACTTGCATATTTTTCTTTTAAATACCAAGTAACATTGATTAGATTTCAATCATTAATTGTAAAAATTAATTTTAAAGAAAATTATTATTAACTTTGATGAAATTAATAGTAATGTCTTGCAACATTAAAATTATTCATTTATTTTTTTTAACAGACTTACGGACAATTGCTTTTAGGACTCTGTTATCTTCCTACAGCTGAAAGAATGACAGTTGCAGTTCTCAAAGCAAATAATTTAAAACAACAAACAGAAAAATGTGAAGGTGCAGGTGAGCATAATTTAAATATCTAAATGGAAGAATAAAACATACCTACATAAGTTAAGAAAATATCCTATGCTTACCATAGGAAAAGAGATTTAGTTTTGGTAAAGACCTAATAACTTTCGTATATTGAACTATTAAACTTAAATGAACATTTTCAAAAACGGCATCATTGAAACCCTTGTGGAACTCAATGCATACTAAAATCTGTAAAAATTTACAAGATTTGTATGTTTTCAAATAACAGCAATTTAAAAGTTACTTATCTTGAGGAGCTAATTGGACTTTTTGTACACATAATGCATTTACATTTTCATTATAGTAGAAAATTTTATTTGCATCATATTATAAAATAATTAAGTAGTTGTTTCTTGAAAACATATAGCATTGCTTTATAACTGTTATGAAAAACAGAATGTCTAAATTTTATTGTTTTCTATTCATAGTATTATAACATTGGAATGATACATTAAGTATCATTTCTTACAGCTTTTAGTCTGGTCAATCTAAATGTGTTTATAACTAATTGGGTTTTTACAGCAAGGAAAAATAATTTCAAATATAATTTGAAAATCAAATAATGTTCTCTCTCTTTTAGAACTAGCTCAAGTTTGTTCAAACGCTGCAATTTTATAACTATAAAAATATTATAGTAGATTATCTAACATCTTTGAAAATTTGGGTACCAGTTATTCTGAATTTATTTCACTAATTATAACAAGGAATTAAAACTAGCACAATTGACAAGGATAAAAATCAGTTCACACACAAATAATATACCATTGGAAACCTTTCCAGTAAATTCTTTATGACTTGCAAAACTAGTTTTGAAACTAAAAACTTCTATTCATCTCAGTTTTAATCTCATGTCTCAAATATATTATTAAAATGATTCTCAAACATTATTCCTAGCAGATAGATTCTCAATTCTTAGCAGTAATACTTTGATAACAAAAAGTGCAGAAATTTCTATATTATCAAAGAGTTAACATCAATAGGTTTATAATTATCATGGAAATCTATTATCCTACTTCAAAAAAGTAGTCTTATTCTTTTTGTCATAAAAAATTAGGCTCAACCTAGAAGCATTCAACAAATTTCTATTTATTGCTTGGACTAAAAGTGCATTCAATACCTCATTTTTACAGTGAATCAAGTGTTTTACTTTAATTTTTTAGACAGTACAACTAATTAAGAGTTTCAAGATACAACTTTTCCATCTTGATATAATGTTTCGCAAAACGAGTTATAAAAAATAACAGAAAAATATTTCAAATTTATGCTTACTAAGCTTCAGCTGATCGAAACAATTCCATCATAAAAATAGTTCAAAACCCATCTAAATAAATTATCTTTCAAGCAAAATAATTAGATAATATACTTTTTTAATGAACTTCTTATAAAATTACTTTTTAAACAAAACTTATGGATTTTATAAAATTATAGTACAATTTGTAAAGAAATTTTAGCAGCTGTGCAAGCACAAATTTCACAGTTTTAAAGCAAACCTTAATAATATTTGATGAGGAGGCACACCGTTATGTGTTAAACAGTTGTAAATAATATTTAATAAAAAAATATTGTTATACAAATACTAGTTAAAAAGATTTTTTTTAAACAATTTACAGAATGAGAGTTTTATTTCTTTGTTTACTCTAATATTAGGAAAATTGCAAAAAAAAATTTATTATAAAACTATTGTAAATAAAAAAAACATTTTATAGTTTGATGTGCATGAGTTTAATAAAAAAAAGCTCAAAATTATAAGCAGTTGCTATCATACTAGAATTTTTCAGGTCCATTTTTTTAAATTTTATTATAAGTTATACTTCATGTAATAAACAACCCAAAGTAACAATATTTAAAACTTTAAATATCCACTAAAGATAATTATTTTTATGAAATTGAATTCAGCACTTTCTTTGTCTTTGTAGTTTTGTAATACATTCTACCAACTGAATTTCGTTAAATTTATTACCTACACAAAAGTTAAGTCAGTCAGTCATGGCCCACAATACAATTACAGGATAAAATAAAAGATACTGCCCATTCATGTTATGCCAAAAGAAATAATAAATTTAATGAAATTTAAGACAAAATAGTTATAAATTTTTTTTATTGCAATGAGTGCTTTAAGTAGATTTTAAGGAATAAATAGTAAAATATTTTGTAGTACAAATTTAACATAGCATACTAATGTTAATTATATTGTTTTTTTTAACAGCATTTTACATTGTGTCATGGGAAATTATAAACTAACCCAAGTAATCAAATTTAGCCCTTTCCTTATCTTTCTAGTTTTTTTTAACACACTCTAACAGCTAAATTTCATTAAATTTATTATCTACTACAACACTACAATTAATGGATTAAAATGAAAGATACTCCCCATTCATGTTATGACAAAAGAATAAATAAATTTGATGAAAGAGATAAAAAAAAGTTATAAATTTATTTTATTCCTAAGAGTGTTTTAAGTAGCAGATTTTCATGAATGAATCGTAACATTTCATAGTACAAATTTAATATAATAAACTAATATTAATTATATTGTTTCTTCTAAATAGCATTTTATGTTCAAGTGATGGCAATTTATGGTGGAAAAATTTTTGAAAGAAGAAAAACCTCAAGTCGATCCTCATCTCAATTTCCGGTTTTCAATGAGATGCTCATGTTTGATGTACCCTTTACAAAGCTAGATCACATAGTTTTATTGGTTGCAGTTTATAACACGATTCCTGCAACTTCTTTGGATGAACCAGTTGACACACAGAGGCAAAAAAATAAAGATGTATGCATAGGAAAAGTTGTGATAGGTTCCTCAGGCAAGAAGAACATACTGAATCACTGGAATGCAATGAGAAATTCTCCAAGAAGGCAAGTAATACAGTGGCATGAACTAAGATAGATTGCTTGTGCAACATTATATAAAAAGACGATATGCTAGTAATTTTCTTACGAAGAAATACAAAGTATTTGTAATACATATACTTGGTGGAATATTATACCATTTAATCACTGTCATAAAAAATGGAATAAGTTCAATTTGGATAAAGAAAAAAATTATAATTGAAATAGCATATATTTTGAGAAGATCATATTGTTGTGGTATTAATAAAATGTGTTTGTGTGTGTTGTGAAGAAGTATATATTTTATTTTGTAACAACTGTCAACACAAAGATTGATGATAAATTCAAAGCATAAATCCTTTCATTTCAATAGTATAAATTATGAATAATGTATAAAGTGAAAAAAATTGCTTGATTCAAGAAAATTTGCAATTTTTTTAAAGACACAAATTTATACTTTTTTATTAGTAAAATTTAAAGGGACGAAAAAACAGAAAAATTAATGAGGGATGGGAGATTGCCCTAAAGCAAGAAAATTTACTATAACCCTTGATGGACTGTTGAGTTAAGCAGTAACTCATTGTTTTGTGACTTATAAAACCTGTAATTCATATCATGCAAAAAAAATATACTAGCTCTGTAAACTATTTTGCAAATAGATAATTTTAAATATTAAGTCTTGATCATGGGTCCAGAAGAAGAAAAAAATTAAAAACAAAAACTTTATTTTAAAACATTAAGAGAACAAAAAAATTCTGATAAGAAATGGACATGACAATTAATGCTTAATCATAGAAACATGAAAAATTCTTAACAAAATTTTGACAAACTAAAGCTTAAAATTTTCAATTGTCATAATAATGAAAATTTTAAAACAATATTGTTATAGATTCTAAAAAAAAAAGTAATTCATTATACTACAATAGAAATTTTTTAACTTTTAGAATACTTTTACAAATGTCGTCATTGAGTTTAAGGAATATCTTTAAAACTTAAATAAATAAAAATTCCACACACAACAGTAAGTACATCTAGTGTATAGATAATGTACAGTATCTACATGAGAATGCATATAATACTTTGATGAAATTATAGAAAGCATTAAACTTACTATCAGCAAATGTCTTTAAAGTGGAGTATTTGATCAGAAACATCATTCATCAACAACTATTTTTAAAAGGTTAAAAGCTGATGCATAGAAAAAGAAAATCCAATTTAATCATTATAATTCATAGTTAATTAATTTACAAAATGATTATCTTACAATTGAAGAACTTGGTGCAAGAAGATTTTAAGTGATACTTTTTAAATAAAATCTAGATTTCTGAAAGTAAGATCTTCTGTTAGCCATATCGCATGTTAGCAATAATATTAATTTATTTTGCTTAATCATTACATTTTTCAGATCTCAAGTAAATAAACAAATAAATAAAGGTAAGTAACAATCTTTGAGAGTTTTTAGAGTGGTAGAAACTTCCTAATGCATTTAGTAACTGATAGTAAATAAGTAGCCATAGAAGGACTCTTTTTCTTTTAAGAAGAAATTTATAACGAAAATTGTTACAAATAATTCAAATGGCTCACCAATTGAAAGCTGGCAAAAACAAGAAATAAGCAAAACATTATCTTTTTTCTATTACTAAGATATAAACTTTAAGATATAAGACAAATTTAATCAAAAATCAACATATTAGCTAGTTTAGCCATTAATGATCCTTAGCATTGCAATTTTAACACTTTTTTCTTGTTCCAAGATGCAAATCACAGAAGTTTTACTTCATAATATATAATAAAATTATAAAAGAATATAAGCTACGTATTTCTCAACAATACGTATCTAACATTTTTAGCCCAAAGAAAAGGGAAAAAATAATAATCATTAACAAAAAGACATTCATAGCTTAATGGCTACTTTTAAGAAAAAGAGAAATAAAATATGTATTGGTGAAAAAATAGATAATTGGATCATTGCAACCAAATAAAAAATTTTGCACATTGTTGCAATTAAGGCTCAAACAAATATTTACACTACGCAGAGGATTTCTTTAACATGCATGTTAAAATGAATTTGTCAGGAATGACGGTAATTTGAAACAAAATTTATAGCAGAATTCAATAATTCAAAATGATTTAAAAATCAGGGAATTATCTTTATTTCATACCAGGTATATATAAATATTAATATGATTAAAGAAAGATGGAAATATCAACACATAATTCAAAAAATTGTTTTCCAAAAATTATAAGACAATACTTCCAGGAAATAACCACTTCAAGCATTTTGAGGAGTTACAGGTACCCTATGGAGAGAATATTTTTATTTAAAAAAGTCTATTCAAAGTTTTCTAAAAGAGCCTTATAAAGTTTGAAATATAGGCTTTAAAATGGAAATATATTCATCAAAATCTTATATTAAAAGCACAAATGAAAATGCATAGTTTTGTATAGATCTCTTAAATATTTTTAATCAGTTTAAAAAAAAATGAATAGCAAAAGCTGAAAAAAACAATACTATTAAAAAATTGTAAGTCTCACTTAATGCAGCTAACCTAAATTAACAGTAGGATGAGTTTTAAGAAAATTGCTGGTGAAATAGTTTTACCTTTTTAAATGTCAACTTAAAACCTATGAATACATACTGAAGAAATGCAGTTGTATAAGAAAACAATTTCATTTTTAGTTAGAGAGAAAGTTAAAAAAAAATCCAAAATTAACATAAAAAAGGGGTGCTAACTGATCAGTTTTCCTTTAAAGATTTTATAAAACACTAGACAAATAAAATCTAAAACATACAGAATTAGTTATTTACCGGCTACAGTGAAAGACTCACTCTGAGATAACTAGAAGCAAGTGATTATTAAATAAACTTTCGAATTATTCATACAAAGTGGTGGTCAAAATAACTTTATATCAAATTACTAATCGTAAATCATAGATTAAAACAAAGTTTGTTGTCACTCAAAAAATACTATACAAAAGGTAAAACAAGTTTGCATCACTGATAACACAAAAACAATACAGTACAATAATACATAACATTTAAAGTAACATAATTTATTCAAATATAGTACAATAACGACTTTTATAAATAACTATCCTACTGATTATTTAAAGCATCTATATTTGCTTGTTGTTTTTGCATTTCTTCAACTCTTTTATTCATTATTTCGGGTTGAATTTCCATATATGACATCATCAGTCTATGATTAACAGCAACACCTTTAGAAGAACATTTTTCAATGCATGATTCCTAAAAACATTTTAGGCATAAATAAGTTAAAAAAAACGATAGATACAATTACAATACAATTAAAACAGCAGATATCATTTATAATGAATAATCTACACAGCAATAAGAATTTTTAAAAGAAATTTCATTTGAGTATCAAAAAATAGACAAAAACATTATTCACCACAATGACACATTAGATTAAATGTATCACATACCAAAATCATAAAACAAGCATAACATTTTCTACTACACTACTGGGTATAAATTAGAACTATGAAACTGAAAGAAAAAACTAAATTTAACAAAAATCAAAAACTTCACTTTATTTCATATGAAAATTCAAATAAAATTATGAAATTAAGCTTCAACTATTCAGAGGAAAAAAGTCAAAAGATAAAATATATTGATACATTAATTTTGCGTGCAAATTTTATAGACAGACTAACAAATTTCTATCATTGCCACATTTTTTTTCCCAGTAAACTTCCCTTTAAAATTTTATGAAAATCATTATATTTGTATTAATTGAAAACAAATTTTAGCTTCATATATTCCCGACTAAAAAATTTTTAGAAAGAGAAAACAATAATGAAACTGTTATTATAGAAAACAGTATCTATCACAGAGGGTCAATTTTATTACATAAATAACTGATAAACTGATAAGGGCACCTTGTGTAGTTCTAGGCAGCTACACTAACCCTGATAAAAACTAAACATCCAGCTGTTTAAACATTTTCCCACTTCAACAGTAAGTTTAAACATTTTCCCACTTCAACGCTAATAAAATAAGTGTAAAATTAATGTCTGTATAAAATGGTAAATCGTTTTCATAAACAAATATAAACAGCAAATATGTTTAAATAAAAACAATAAGCCAAAACAAATTTGTGTGTCCAATGCATGCTACATGAAATATTTACTTGATACGAACAAGTAAAATTTGATAAATAAGTTTCTAAATGCAAGATAGTTTCTAGATTTGATAAATAAGCTTTTAACTTAATAAAAATAAATATAAAAAACAACAGATCCATATCTCTTAATGTTAGCATCATGAAATCCAAGAAAAGAAGTTAAATAAAAGTAACAGCTTTCATTTTACATGAGGTAATTACTGTCAAATTAACTAGAGCTCTGAGTATTTTTTCCTACTTTTTTTTTCTACTCAGTGTTTTCCCTACAGCACGAGAACGAAAGGAATCTCGCTTATTTTTTCTTTTCTTGCAATCAAAAATGAACAACGCAAGAAGATCGTGCACTCTATTAACCAATTTCAAAATGCGCGAATTCTCGCGAATTTTGGAAAAAATTTCGTCTTCTGCCATTTCGAATAAAATTCATTTCACTTTTCTCCCTTGATCTTTCATTATTTTCAACATCAATCCTTGTTATCTAGCTTCCCTATTTACCAGTATTGTTCAGAACCGTTGCGAACAGCAGAACACAATGCATGTAAATATTTTTTGTTTTTTTTAAATCTAGATTTTCTCAATTCCTCTGAACTAGTTCTGCTTGCTCCTTTCAATTTTCAAACTGTTATTTATTTTTATTGTTCTTATTTTCATTGTTTTTATTTGTCATATTAATTTAGTTCATTGGTGGAAAAACAAAACAAATGTAAAGCAATTTTCAATATCAATGAGAAAAAATATAAATGTGCTTTTGTTTAGTTTTTCAAAGACTGAAATAGTATTTAATTATAATTATTAATACATAAAAAAGTATTAAATTAAATGCTTAATATTCTCTAAATGATAATGATTATTATCAAGCAAACTGAATGAAATGTAACCTTCTATATAGAACTCAAAGGAAATACCAAACTGTCATCATTGACAGTTTGGCATGACTTCAATAAAAACTGAAGTTCAGATTCAAGTCTTCAAAACGTTCAGCTCAAGAGTGAATTAAAAATGCAAGGAGTAGGCAATGATGGCTACAATTCTTTATCACACCAAAGGAAAAAGTAAAACAATATTGCTTTAACTAACTATAATTTGTTCTTTGTACATATTACAATTGGACAATTGCCAAAAGAACAAGAGCTTCCAGCACAACGCCCTTAAATAATTGATACAGAGTTAAAAAAGGAGTATAATATTATGCAAAACGGAAACATCCAAAGATTTTTGTTTCCGATAAACTTCACCAAAAATGCTTTTCTTGGAATAGGAAACACGTTTATTTTATTTTTTAAAAGCGGATGCAAAACTAAAAAAGTTAAATATACCAAAAATATCCATTCTGTTATTGTGAGTGGTGACATTTCAGCAAATGAAAAAACACTCTTAGTTGTTCTAGAATATAAAGTGATAGCAAACTAGGACAAAAAAAACAACAACAACATGGCATTCTTGCCGTTTGTGGTTTTCTAAATACAATAGAAATTTCAAAACGAAGAAAAAAACAGTTGTCTTGAACAGCATGAAAAACAAAAACAATTCAAGAGTGTCACTAAGTATATTTCTCAAATTTCCTTACAACTCTAAAATAGCCACTTTATTTTATTGTATCACTACATGCAGTTGAAATTTGAAGCCTAAGCTAAGTGCTAACCCCTTCCAAAGTTTTTACTCTTTGAGACAAAATAACTCTGAAGAGTTGTAACAAATCATTAAGGGTTTATGGAAATATTTGTAGTTTTAAATTGCACAAATACGGACTTTATTAATTAAACTGTAAGTAAAAGCTTAATTTTTCTGCATCTTTTTTTACATGATATCAAATCCCACAACAGAATACAATTCATCAATTATTCATTGCTTAAATTAATTTAACATAAAATTTACTATATTTAACATAAAATGTACAACATTTAATTCATATTTTTACTATACATAGCACTAAAATGTACTGCATTTTACACAAAAAAAGTGAATTTATGCCCTCAGAAACATAGCACATCAGATATATTGTTATATTTGACAGTTAAAAGTGTAAAAAGATAAATATTTTTTTAAATTTATTATTATGTCTGAAAGCATTGTCTAAGTATGCACTGAAAAAAACTTATTTAAAAAAGAAAAATTATTTTATTTTATAAGTTGCGATATAATTTTTGTGACAAAATTTTCATATAGCATGTTCTTGTAAGTGCAGACAAATTTTCTGTTCTTAAAATAAACAAAAAAAAACCCTAATGTCAAACATTATGCATTGCATGTCAATAATTGATTAGATAATTTAGACGAACATTGTATAGTATGCTCCACAATTGCATTTCTTTTATTAGACATTTTATAGCAATAAAATTGTAGCTGGAAATATTTGCTTTTAGCTGTTTATCAATGTAAATTTTACGAAAAAAGATATTAACATCTTGTCTTTTTGAATCCAAAAAAATATTTAAGTATAACAAACATATAAATAGCATATAGAGTAATACTTAACATACTCGGCACTACTTTAAATTTAAACTAAAAAATTTTTTTTCACAAAAAATGGTCCAAACATTAACTACATTACAAACTGCATCAATAAGAAAGTTCGATTTTAAAATTTTATATATGCAGTAAAAACAAAAAAAATTATTATAGATTTTCAAATATTATAGTAAACATAGATATTTTTCTCTAGTTTGCCAGTAAGAAACAATTTTTTTTAAGAATGAAACTACTAATGAGTGTTATTTGAACATAACATTCCCGTCTGAGAATAAAAAATATTTTTGGTACCAAAAATAACTATTATTTCAAGAACAAAATAAATTAAGACTGGATTAACTTTAAGAGCCTTAAGAAACATGTTAAATTGAACTTTATCAACAAACATAAGAGAAAAGTAAAGCAGTTAGTTTAATATGAAATTTCAAATACATTTAAAAAAGTTATTGTATAAAATTAAATGCATTTCAGACAAAAACATCTTGAAGTAGATGTATATACAATAAAGACAGTGTGCATCTGCAAGGTCATATTGCCTCCCCTTAGACAATATGACCCTTTCTTAAAGCTTAATAGAAAGTACTTATATTTTAAAATTATTAAGATATTTAAAAATAGTATTTCTAAATATTTCAGAATTGAATTTATTTAGAAGATGCAAAGTCCATAAGTTCAATAATACAAAATACTTTTTTAATAAGTAACATTTACCAACATCCCTTTTCCAGTTGATATTAATTTTCACCTTGCTTTCTTGATATTAAATTCACCATTTACAAGCTACTTAAGATTCTATCATTCTTTTATTTCACTGTGAGACATTAATGATTGTATGATGAGGAGATTTATTTAAAGAAACTCTAAACGGCACAAATCATAATACCATAAAACACAATCCTGATAATTTCTTTTATTTATTTTATTTCAATGAAAATATTTCCATCCAACAACATTCAATTTCATCTATTTTTATATATAAATCAGAAATCAATCTTTGATCTGCAGCAACATTTCTTCAGCTAGTAATTTATTAAGTTTTCAACTAATTTTTTTTTACATTATTCAATCATCAAGTTCGTGGTCTTCTTTACCTTAATCTATTACTATGGATAACTTGTGTTAATTGTAGTGGTCCATAAAGTTTGTACAGTTCATAGTTATATCTTGTTTTCCAACATTTGCTCTGGACCAAAGATTGTCATGAGAATTTTTCATTCAAACATTCCAGTGAGTAATGTGCGTCCTCATTTGTGTTCCATTTCTCACTTGCAAAAAGTAAAACAGTTGTATCAGTGTCTTACACTAATTTAGCTTTGCTTTGAAACTGATGAGATTAAATTTTAATTGTATGTATTCTTAACCTTAAGAAGTACTTAATATATAGTTATCAATTTCTGGAATAAACACGTTTTATCATTAATTACTGAACTAAGCTACTTAAATTCATCAACATTTTCGAAAGTGTAACCAGTGATCTATTTTGCTTATTATTGTTTTTTATTTTTTTATTCTGTTAATGCAAAACTTCTCCTTCTCCATAAAACTCAGTGATGCGACAGCCCATAGAAGGCCAAAGGCTACTGTGCCCATCTGTTTTCTTGATCTTGGGCTCTGGGGTGCAGGAGCAGATGTTTCGGTCAGGTCGTCAGCCGAACACGGAACCCCCAGCATACCAGCCAACTTTTACGCATTTAGCGTAAAATTTTATTTCTATATTTAAAGTGGTAGTAAATTGTATGCTTTCTATATATTCCTTGCATTTATAATAAACCTTATTTATAATCCTTTTGACCACCACTATTTTTAAAAAAATTAAGAATACGTATAAAGATGTAATTCTCTTGCGGCAGTCTGCATAAGAACTCTCAAATTATAGCGTATGCTTATGCTTAAAATTGTAATTTAAATTCCATGTAACTACCACTGGAAAAAATCACCTTCGAAAGGATTAAAACTTGACAGGTATGCCCCAGTGTTTAGTTCCCAAGCATGCTTGGTACTCATTTATCGACCCACTGAAGGGATGAAAGGCTAAGTCAACCTTGCCCGTTCCTATGATCGAACCCAGGACCTGGGGCATGGGAGCATGAAGTGCTACTGGGCGTCCTTTCCATGAAGCAAACTCATTTTTAAATCATGTTTTTCCTCATTAAAATTTGTTTCTAACTAATACTCTGCTGAAGAGTAAAATGGAAGAATATGAAGGAAGGCAAAATAAGAAATCAAAAGCAGGCTATAAAATAGAGTATTAGTCTATAGAGGTATTAAACAAGTCAGCAGCATTTTTTTTTGCTCTGCAGAATTTAGGAACCGTTGTGACAATAGAGAATGTAGTTTCTACAATATAAAACCCTAATGCACCATTTTTACTTGCCATCTGGTAAACAACATGGACCATTTTATTGTAGTGAATCCTCCAGGATCAGCAAATTCATGTGCTTGGGTGCAAGGGAAAAGTTTCTGTTTATTCTAGTAGCATTTCTGCACCATAGTAAAAAATACTCTGGGAAAACCTGTGCTGTTACTACAAAGAAACCATGGTTCACATCTGTGTATAGATAGCATGAATTTTACTGATAGTTATGGTGTGGTTATTTTGATTTTCATGGATTTGTGGTTATTCTAGGATTTTGATTAGGAGGATTTTATGCCCATTGTATAGCAATTACACAACTAATGACTCTGCTGTCAGAAAAATTTTGCGGCAACATGAGCTGCACATTAAGTCTAATGTAGAATGCTGCACCATCCTGTGTAAATATTATCAAATCAAGACATCCTCTTTGCTACAGTTGTAAAGCCACAAAGTTTTGTAGCACTTCAGCATACCTATTACTAGTAATGGCTCCAGTCACTGATCAACTTTTAGGAATTTCCACATAAAATTAAGGACAAATGATAAAATATGCAAACAAGAACAGCTTAAAAGTGGCAGTTGTGTGAGTTAACACCACTGTTCAAATAAGAGTGTATTTCAATAAAATCTGCCATGATCATATATTATCAAGTTCTATTCAAGATAAAAATCTCAATAAAAAAAATTAATCAGGTGGCCACATCCAAGGAGCAATTCTTGAAGAGAATAGATATTATATAGGTAAAACTTCAACATCTGACGCAGAATCTTCTACATCGTTGAATCTAGGATCTATGCCTTCTGGAAGCACTGGTACCCTCCCTGCACACTTGCTGCCTCCAATTTAACAACAGCCATTGCTGAATATTCTGAATATTACTGAGTAACTTTGTGCCCCTTGTCTGGTTGCTGTATTAGAGTTTCTGTAATTTTAAATTGTTGAATAATGTTTCATAAATTTGCAATGCTAACCAGTTCTTTTCTCGATCATCCCTAAAATTCGTGCAAGGTAGCATTGTCACTCTTCTGCTGATAATAAAGTTTGACTGATAAAGCATAGTACGCATAACTAAGCATAGCAACTCTGAATGATAAATATTCTCCTGGTCTTTCCTTTTATATTCATGAGCGTTACGTAGAACATAATTATGGAAATTAATATATCTTATTTGGTAAACAGCAACAAAATGTCCCGGTTGGTGACTTTTGAGAACATTTTTTAAGAAATTGAAATCTCATGGTTAAAACCTCGTATATGGGTAAGCACTCATCAAATATAGTTATATTTTATTCAACAATACTTTGCATGCTGGAGAGCTCTGAATAGTTTAAGTTATCTAATGCCCCAAACAACAGAATATTTTTTAAAAATTTATATTGACCTGAGCATTAATCAGTTACGCTGACTAGAGCATTAAAAAGTTAATATTGAAATATTTGCTAATCTCACCACTGTTCCACATTCTATCAATGACCTTTTTTTCATAAAAATTATTTATTAAGATATCAAATCAATGCAATCTTTCAAAGCATTTTACTCAAAACTTGATTTTAAATTGATGATAAAGATATTTTCCATCTAATTAAACAGATTTTTTAGAGAAGAAACTCTTTATTTTTATTAGAAAAAACTTCAGTTTTTTGTTGGACTTCTCAATTATCTATTTTAATAATTTATTTATTTGCAGTTTCTCAACTAGTGTCCAAAAATCCTTATATTTTCAATAAAAGAAAATTCAGGAGAAAAAAAATCAACTATATGATGTACCGATTATTTAAAAACCATTAGCGACTATAAATAAAGTGAAATAATTGTCACAATAAAATACAGAATATCACATTTTAAAAACAAAAATGTATTTTAAAGTTTGAGAAGATTTGTTCAAAATCTAAGATGTGTCAAAGTATGTGTCAAAGGAATGCTCACTACAGCTTTGGTTTAATAAAAGATAAAAAAAAAATAATGTAATTGTATCAGTAAAGCAATAATTTAAAAAAAACAATATTTTATGTCTAAAAAAATGAAATTGAAACAAAAAATTAACATTGAAGATAAAACATTTATAAAATAAATACCTTTTAAGCATATTTTGTACAATAAGTTTTATTTAAGTGTACCAAGCAACATTCAAAAATGATTTCAATCCTATCACTCTTTAATTGACAACATACCAATCGAGACACAAATTTGTTCAAAACATTCAATAAATATAAAGAAACAAAAATCACTACATATATGGTATAGTATGTAAAAAAATCCTCTTTCAACCTGCTTGCTTTTATTTATTAACATTGCAATGAGAGTTAAAATGAATAATAAAAACTTACCTCAGTTGGTGTCAACTGACGACCATTAAAATTTTCAATACATTGATTAAAACAGGTTTCAGCCATTTTGTTGTAAATGTATAAGAAATCTTTCATCTAAAAATTATATAACAATATTAAAACAGTGCTGATTTACTTAAAACAATATTAGTAAATAAAAATACTGAAATACAACAAGCTATTGAGTAGTTTTAATTTAAGGCCCTATCTGAATAATGGACCAAGTCACCTATTGCTTCTTTTTAGTGCCAAATAGATAGGCAAATAATGAAAAAAATACATTCATTTCATTTAAGGCTCTGTATCTCAAAATAAACAAAGATGAAATTATAACACTATTCAAATAAGGCCCTTAATTAATATGTATATTAATGATATCCAATCATAATGCTATATACTCACAAGTGCAATATTTTAATAATCAAATTACTACTAATACTAAAGATCATGGTTGGCAAAGATTAGAGCATGATAGTAAAAACTATGACTTTTATCATCCTGTCCAAAACTATCAAAAACCCTTTTATCAACTGTCAGAAACTCTTCTGTCTGTATTTGAAGATAATTTATTCAGATTTAATCGAATTTTATTTTAAGCAATGCCTAAAGAGTGAGAAATAAAAAATAAATAATAAAATACAAAATTAATAGCTTATTCAAGTTAAACTATTATTAAATTCGAATCCGTGTCCGCGTAATTTCCTATCTTTTATTCACGCAATATTTTAATTATCAAATTACTGCAAATACTGAAGATCAAGGTTAGTAAGGATTAGAAGATGGTGGTAAAAACCATTGCTTTCATCGTCCTGTCCAAAACTATCAAAAACAGTCCAAAATTGTTCTGTTTGTATTTGAAGACAATTTACTCAAATTAAAGATCAGATTTAATCGAAGTTTCTTTTAAGCAATGCTGAAAGAGAGAGAAATTAAAAATAAATAATAAAATATAAAATTAATAGCTTATTCATCAAATTATTAAATTTGGATTCATGTCTGTAAAAATATTTAATGATAAACGTTGTATTGAAATAATTTTCCGACATATTTATAAATTTAATTTACTTTCAGATAAAAGATATCTATTTTAAATCGATCAGTATCACACATCGACATTCAATTTGAATAAGACTTTTCCCCTTTCTTTCTAGATATTAATTTTAAATTATTCAACTGAGTACTTTTAGAAAACAATTTTTACCCTTTGTATTTCATGCTTTCTCTTTTTGGGTAATAATATGTTTGTCAAATTCAAAATGTTTCAGCCAACCCAAACCGCAGATAGAAACAACATTGGCATTTGGCATCATTACAACATACCAATTTACAAGGTTAGAGGCAAACTCCGAAAATTCATTTCGAGAAAAGAACACTTTCAAGTTTTGCATCTAAATCATTATTTCATTTTTCATTACTATGCATCTCTTAGTTTTGCCTCAATTCTAAACATAAAACAGAAGAAAACAAATTTCTCATATTTTTTTATCAATATATACTTAAATATAATTAGATTTCGTTTTTTTTTCTTTTTCAAAGTATTGCAATTCTTTATCAGTGCATTTATTGACTAGAACAAATCTCAATATACCATAGTAAATAGTTGTTTTTAAACTCTGTCTTATACTGTCCATATCTAGAAACAGTAGTGTTATTTTTGGGGAACAATTTAAAAAATGACTATAACCAACCAAGAAGGTTTATAACTGACTATAAAAAAAGGAATAATTTAATATTAATATCTATTAAACTAATTAAAATTCTATTATTAATTGGGGATCTGGACTTTAAAAAACATACTAAGGATGTAAGGATAAAAGAAAAAAATAGCTGTTTTGTTCATGAACTTAAACACAAAACTAAATAAACTATTAATAAAGTTTAAGCATATTATTTGAGTTTATGTAATATATCCATGGTTGGCAAGTTTTTGATAATTGATGGTTTTATCTAATTTGGTTTTAACCATCATGTTAAAAATCTCTTTTGACATAATTTTTGACAATTGTGGAAAATATAAATTTTAGTGTGGAAAGTTATTATTAGCTATTATGAATATATAATAATTTTAAATAAAAAGTAGATGTAAAATTTCAATTGATTGATCTATTATATTCTTTAATCATTTTAAAAATAAACCCTTTTTCTACTGTCAAATAATCAAAATGTTGATGAAAAAATCATATTCTATTAAAAAATATATTAATTGTCAAACATACTAATTAAATTAAAACTATAAAAACATACTAAAATTTATATGTATTAGTAAATTTATTCAAATAACTGAATTTAATATTGTCAATAACTTAATTAAACATTTGAATTGATTGAAAAAATTAATAACAGATTTGAACAAATATTTATATTTTTAGGAAAATAATATTATTTTACTCATCAGGAAACAGATATCATAATTTATAGATAATGCTCATGTACAGTGCGCCAAAAACAAAAACATACCACTCTGAATAACTTCTGATCTAATGATCGAATCTTCACATACTAGGACTCAATCTTAATGATTTGAGGTGGTGATGTCAAATATGCAAATTATTCAGTGCAGACAATATTTTAAGTTACAAAATCAGACAAAAAATTTTCAACTATTATTAAATAAAATAATAAAAAAAATATTTACCAAAATTTATTTTTGCATGGAATTATCTTTGGATAAAAAAATTAAATAATTGCGTGGAAAATTTTTCTAAATTCACTTAAAAAATTCTCGAGATATGGTGAAATACGCAAAGAGTAAAATTAACGTTAAGAGGTTCAATCTTTGGATCACCCTCCTGACCAAACTATTAGGACCATTTTTCCCAGATTGCGGCTACCCCTATATTTTGGGGGTCAGACATCCATATTCGTTGAAGAAAAAAAGGCATGTTTATTCAGAGAAGATGCGTTTTTGTGTCTGATGTCATAACTTAAAATATCATCCGCACTAAATAATTAGCATATATGCTAATTATTAACTTCAAATATATTTGAAGTTACACCCTCAAACCATTAAGAGTGAGTTCTAGAACTTGAAGATACAATCATTAGACCAAAAGTTATTCAGGGTGAACCTTTTTTTTGGTTCATTGTACATATAAACATAACAGCAAATATTGAGAATCCAAAAGAAATTTACAAATTGAAATGACGTAATTATTGACAGCTACTTCAGTTTTACTGAGCCGTAAATCATAACATATAAGAATTAAAATCAATATTTATAACGATAGCAATTAACAGCTCATGGTTATTATATGTAATATAAAGTGACAAGTTATATTATAATGTATCAAACATTAATGATTTTAAAGTAGAAATAGTACCATATTTTTTGAAAAAGTGGCTAATAGTTTCAAATATTTAGGATAAATTTTTTTATACATGATATGTAATATAAATTATTATTGCAGTAATTATAAAGAAAGTATTGCGCCTGACTTAAACAGTTAATAAATAGTGATTAAACTAATAAGATATCGCCAATGACAGGAAGGAAAAAAACTTGTCTTAGACTTTTGACAGTTTTTGTCAGTTTATTACATGTCATATCAAAAACCAGTTTTTGATGTCAAAAACATAACCCAGACTCTACCTGTGTGCAAGGAGCTTTAATTCTGTAGAAGATAAATAAAAGCAAGCTCTTTTTAAATTATTCATTAGAAAAATATGTATATTTGATTTAGTGATCTTATTCATTTTTGTCAGAAACTCTAACTACACTTAAGTATTGATATCAGGCTTTTAAAGGAAAACAGAAGTTAAAAAAAGAAATTGACCATCACAAATAAAAATCCATTTGTAATGGGTTTTTATTCAAGAGATTTTTTATATACTTTCTATTTGTGTTTTATTTTTAACATATTGCATTACAATGTTAACCAATTGATACACGAACGTAAACAAGTGCAAACTGGTTTCAGTCGCATAAAAACAATGAAGCTGTATAGTATCACCTGATAGTTAAGATTTTGCATAGAATCTTAGAGTGTGTCTAATAATTTGGTCACGAACTGTAATCATGTAAGGCAAAATTGGAAATAATACAATATGATTGTATTGAGGAGTGTATTGTTGGAATGTATAAGCACTTACAATTAGCGAAGTAAAAAATATGTATATAAATCTTAATCTAAAGATTTGTTTAAACCACAATTTATAATTACTTAAACATTCAACATATTGCAGTACTGTCAATAGCACCATCTATTGAAGAATAAGAAAATTATTTTTGCCATCAGCGGATATTTAATCACCAAATTTTTAGTTAAAAATTTCTTCAACAAATAAGGGGAAATTTGAGAATATACGGGTACACAGGAGACAGATGTAAAATACAGGAGTCTTCGTTAAAAAACAGGAGACTTGGCAGGTATGCTACATTATGTTCTGCTAATTTTATTATCTTCATCTACATCTCATTGCTCATTATGGTGTCATATTTATTTTATAAGTATAATTTGTTTAAGAAGTTATCATATGATTATTACACAAATCTTTCGTGTTTAAAGAATGCTATCCCGTGGAAGAAACTTTTCATGGGAAATTTTGTTTCGTCTCCATTAATATTTTAAAAATTTAGAAAAAAGTGAGTTAAGGTAAACTTAGGGTAAACAATGAAATTTCAAATACTGAAAAAAAAATTACAAATTATAACAGAATTGCTTCCTTACAGCGTAATCTTGCCTAATCCTACCATAATTTGTATAATTCAAGATTTACCTGAACTCATTATTTCTGAACTCACTATTTCTGAACATTTACCTGAACTCATTATTCTTTAAATTTCTTATGTAGATGGAGAAAATTTGCCATGAAGGATTGCTCCTGCATAGTGACCTCTTAATAGCTAAATAACAGTTTCTGATCCAGTTTTAAGTATTTAATTCTGATTTACTTCAATACCTTTGTAAAAATAATTATGAAATAGAATTGCTTATGTAACAGTTGAAATGAACTAGAATATTTGTGTCTCTGTAGAGTTATTTACTATTGCATTTCTCTACCTATTACTTCACTGAAGAATGACAAACACGCATTTAAGTTTATGTCAAAAAGGCTATCAAAAGATTATGCATTATAAAATTTATATTGAACGTCTTTGTTATAGAAATTAAATCCTTAATTTATGTTGATAAAATATTAAACATTAAGTGCGTCATTTGTCCCTGGCCAAATTATTAGACGCACTATAAGAGTCTATGTAAAATCTTAATTACCAGGTGATACTATACAGCTTTAATGTTTTTATGCAACTGAAACCAGTTTGCCCTTGTTTTCAAAGACTAATTTTTAAAAAATATTTTTTTGTCCATTAAAAGAAGCAGGTAAAACAAAAAAATATTTTTTTTTAAATAAGTCTTTGAAAACATTAGAATTAATCCATCACGAAAGAGTCATTTTCTCACAGTGAGGGAATGAAAAAATAAGCATTGTTTGCTTTTGAAGTTTATACTCAGGAATGAATTAAAATAACAGATACTCTTAAACTATCCCATAAAAAGAAAACTAGAACACTTATTAGTATACACTTTTGGAAAATAAATTAGCTTTATCAATTATAAAAGTGCTCTTTTCTCAAACAAAGGGAATGAAAAAAATAAGCATTATTTGCTTTTGAAGGTTATTCCCATAAATAAAGTTAATATATCTATATATATTCAACTGGCCCATCAGAGGAAATTAAAACACCTATCAATACATTTTTAGAATATAAATAAACCTCATAAATTGAAATGATTGAGAATGCCAGGGAGAATTCCATATCGTGATCTGTGGCAGAACAATCGCCAAGTTGTCTTGGAAACTTCCAGACAGAGGCCCGCGAGAAACTAAAAAAAAACATCACAGAAAGGGATCAACTCGAGTACATGTAGACTTAGATTACTTCTAGATGTAGGAAACATGTAGATGTTTGCCCATGGGTGGCCAACCCATGGGGAAACATCTACATGTTTCTTTTTTTAAATTTGCAAGTTTAAAATCTATTTGGCACCTCGGAGATTGTAGTTGGAGCAACAGATCACGATACGGAAATATCCCCGAGAATGACACAATAATTCGTTAGTATGGCAACAAAATAAAATTAGATCTAATATCAATCATCAAAATGGAAAAACTTTTTCTCATGATTTCAACTCATAGAAAAAAGAAATGTCACAGGTATTAAATGTAATATAGAACTATGTTCACTTTTCGATTTTACAAATTCTGCACAGTAATATAAAATTATTTCTAAAATGAGATCACTTCATAACAGCATCAACACATTAACTAAATTTAAGTATTTTCCTACTTTGTTAACCGCATGATCATCAGCTTCCATTTTTATAGTCTTATTAAAACAGGAATAAATTTAAAGTGATCCCATTTAAAATAGACAGAAAACAAAAATCTTTCTAAAATTGAATTATCTTTCAAAATTAGTAGGAAGAATTCAAATACAAATTGTTCAAAGCCGACTTCCAGATATAATTAACTGACAATATATATCACAATTGAATTCAACAAAAAAGTAAAACGTTTTTTTTTCCTTCACGATATAAACAAACAGCTTTGGGTGATTGTGATTGATGAGATTGATACCTCACTTTTGGCAGCCTATTTCTGCTGCGTGAAAGATCTTTTTAGCTTCAAAATTCGTGAACCTCTTCGGTGACTGATCTCACCCAGTAACTGAAATGACCATTCTCACTGAATAAAAAAAATCCGAAGTTAAATATTTTTATCAGCGAAACCCTATGAATGGTGTTTTCTACACTATACCGTCCATACTTCCGGGTTACTGTCTCCGGTGTATTTTAAAGCCATTGGGGTCACAACGTGATCATTGTGTTTTGAGATTCTTGCACACGTGGTATTTGATTACTTATTACTTGTGGTTACAATGTTAACAATACTTGTGTTAACAATGATAAAGGTGCTAACACTAACGTAAGATGGTACACATCTAGCAGCAAGAACAAACAGTAATTAACAAATGAAAAGAGGCCAAATCAGGACAGCCATAAAAGCGAGTTAATTAAAATGTAGCAACCATGCCATCTATCTTAGCATTATATCTATCAATAACTAAAACAAATTTTCACTTCAAACTCACCAGAATTACATAATAACATTAATATCTAATGAAATACGGCAGATTTGAGCTCAGAAATTATCTAATTTATTTCTTTTACTGAAAACCAAATTATCCGTTTGAAAATATCGCCTCGCAGAATAAGCTGTAATAAGCAGTTGCAAACTTTCTAACCGGAACTAGAGCAGGTATCAAGCTCAGGATTGTTATTGCTTACATTTATATTGAAATCACCATCCATCAGCAAGTTCCCATTCTTACGCAAAAAGCTAAGAGGCAATGTGAACGGTCACTGTTTGTTCGAATCTCGCTGAAATCCAGGATGCATTTTTAGATAGGTATTAGGTCCCTACGTATCTACCATTTTTAGAATGTCCTGTTTTACCAATTTCTGAAAAAATTGAAACTTTTTAAAAAACGATAATTTTATTAAACGTATATTTGCAATAACTGCCATTCAATATTATTTAAATGTCCTTCATTATTTATTTTTTTTTAAATAAATGATATATTAATGTTGCTGTATATTTATGCAAAACTATTCGAAATAAATTATAATGTATTTGCCTTTAAAGTTGTTTTGTACATTTTTATTTATTTATTCATTATTATAATAATAAATAAAAAATAATACATTATTTTTTATTTATTTATTTTGTATCTTACTAAGTGAGTCTATATTTGATGTCAACTTGAAAAGAGGTTGTGATTTTTATTTTTTTTTTCGGACTAAATAATATTTTTGAATGCGGTTGAAGAAAATGGTTTGATTCTGCGATGAGGTGATTTGAAAGAGTATGAAAAATGAGAATTTAAAGAGGCAAATTTATTAACATTTATTTAAACATAATGAATAATATATATATTTAAAGAGTGGAGAGAATATTGGCGATCGAAATGGGCTGCAGGTGGCGTAGAGCAGAACTCTTTTCCTATGGCAACACTTCACATGCTTTCCCCATTAGCGTGTGGAAAGTCATAGAGGAAGGAAGTACGTTAGTTTCACTCTTGATTTTCATATAGATTGAAATCTTTTAACTTGAAAAACTATATGGAACTGAAAACTACATTAAACATAGTTCTAAAGAAAAGTATTATGGAAATTTTAAAAAATATTCTTATTAAATAAAAAGGAAAAATATTAAGAAAAGGGAAAATATCGTAGTACATTCCTATACAACTGAAAAGAGGAGGAGAGGGAAGGGAGAAGGGCTAAAAGCATGAAACCGGTCTCTCCCCAGATGGCGTATTCGAGTGTTGCGATCGCGAATAGCGTTAATTTTCTTTGAGTATGTGAATTTTGTTGGTTTATGAAAAAAATGCGATGGGAAAAAAGATACTCCTCTATTTGTCTTCAATCAGTAGATGTTTTCTAACCGAAAGTGTTAGAGCGAGTATATTACCAATGCTACAAGTGTTTAAAACTAAAGAACGTGTGAGAGGTGGAGTTATCGACAATGCCAACCTTCATCTATCACAAGGAACCTCAAGGCTGAATCAAGTTAGCATGTCTTATATACCAATGAATTGATGCTTAATTTTCGCAGTGGTAGTTACGCCACAAAACTCCCCCACCAGAATTTTATCTGGGATAGAATTCGATGAACGGATACCACTAGTTGCTGTACTTGTGAAAAACCGGGAGAGCTGGATTAAGGTCCCCGGGTTTTTTGAGTGCTGAATGGGAGAGGTGTATTAACATCACGGTCGTAGTCGCTCCTGTGTTGCATTTAGCAGTCGAGTGTATGCAGGCTGACGTTGTGTATGATCGAGACAAGACTGAGTAGCAACAGAGTGAGGAGGTGGATAACGTCGCAGACACAAGTAGCAAGTCAACTGCTCAATGTGAACCATTCGTCGAAGTAGGCGTTACCAGATCGAAGTGGGTGTTACTGTCAAGATAGGCGAGATCATATCACGTCCACAAGTCACCAAGGTGGGGGGAGGAGTCATCGACAATGCCAAACTTCATCTATCAAAAGGTACCCCAAGATTCAATCAAGTTTGCATGTCTTATATACCAGTGAATTGATGTTTAATTTTCGTATTGGTAGTTATGCCATAAATCATACCTGCCAACTTTCGAGGATGATTTTCCCCAGTGGTAGTAAAATGGAATTTAAATTATAATTTTGGACAGAAACATACACAGTATATTGAACTAGCTTACGCGGTCTGATTGAATGTTATTACATATTAGTATATACGATTAATTTTTTTTAAAAATAGTGGTGGATCAAAAAGATTATAAATTAAGTTTATAAATGCAATGAAGCATACATTTTACTACCACTTTAAATACAGAAATAAAATTTTACGCCAAATGCGTAAAAGTTGGCAGGTATGCATAAATGGATGGCATTTTACGAAAATACCTAGAAATATTTATATAACGTTTTTTTTTGTTTCTTTTTTTTTCAATTAAATTAATTTTGCCAACAAAAAAAAAACTGTAAATGAAACAAAAGCTAAAAAATTTTTTATGAGTGAATGCCTTATGAAATTTTTTTAATAATGTTTTACCAAGCTAAATTTACATAAAAATGGATTAATATTTTCCAGTAATATCAGTAAAAAATAAATTAAGAAATCTTTATTGTAGGATGTGGAATAATTTTTCCATCATATCAAAATATATAAAAATGCTCCCAGAACTGGATCGGTGAATTTTCTGTTTAAAAGAACACAATTCTTATTAACCTTATTTAATAAAAGTTAAAAAAATAGAAAATTGCAATGGATGTTCTGCTCAGTATCGCCCCGGTCACTAGAACGGCAGATTATTTCTGCATATTACTTTTCTTCAATAAGTTTTCTTTTTAAAAAACAAAAAAAAANGGGAGATTTCCGGTTAAAAAAAAAAAAAAAAAAAAAACAATTGAGGGGAAATTGCTGAGAATCCCTTTTAAAATATCTCTGAATTCGTTTACAATAAAAATTAAAAAGCTGAATCGAGAGAACTCCGAAAGGAAAAAAAGAAATTTAAGACTTTTTTGTCCCCTGTTATTCGAAAACAGCATTAGCTATATAGGAATTGACTTCATTTTTGAGTACCATTCTATTGAATTCAAGTTAAGTTTTGACAACGTAACATTTTTGGATAATATTTTTAAGGACCTTATTATATTAGCAAAATTTTCTACTTGAATGTTAGATTCAGCAGAATTTTTACAAAAAGAATAATTTTCTGGCTGTGTTGAGGTTGCAGATAAATTTGGATTTATGAAGATAATGCTGCAAATTCACTCCTTAATTTCTGCTTTCGGGAGTTGCACTACTCTTTAGCCCCTTGAACTCCAAATCAGCTCACAGTTACGAAATATTTCAAATGTTTTGAGAAAAGTGTATATCAGGAACGAGATACAGTTTGGACGTTATTCCATTCTAAGAGATAATGTCAGATTGATATGCAAATTAGCTAGAAGTAAGAAAACCGAAATTTTTTAAAGAAATTTTCTAATAAAAATATTAATTTAAAAAAATATTTACATTTTCTGTATAACATTACATTTTTGCTATTACATTACTTTCTTTGGTTATGAATGTATCTCAATTGTGACTTGGGTTATCACTTCTTCAAAAGCACCTATTTCCTGATTCCTTCTAACCTCCTTTTTAATTGAAATCTTTATTCAATGATCCTTTTATTTCCTGATCCCTTTATTTCTTGATACACTTATTTCCTGTAACTTTTTTTTCGTGATTCCCTTATTTCCTGATACTCATATTTTCTGGAGCCCTTATTTTTCAATCCTCTTTATTTCCTGATCCCCTTGTTTCCTGATACCCTTACTTCCTGATCCTCCTATTTTTCTGATACCCTTACTTCTTGATATCGTTATTTCCTGATTTTCCAATGAAAGTTAGGCACATTAGCATCTGAGCCCTTCCTTTTGAACAGAGGAGGACACCGAAATTTTTAATAACCTTTTTTTCTTCTTAAATTAAAAAAAATTTCAATGATTACTCTGTTAAGTCTTACTCCTTAACTCCTTGAATTCCCCCAAATCAATTTGCAGTTACGAAATATTGATGGTATGCATAAAAATATGTATAGCATGAACGAGACATAGTTTGGATATTATTCCATCCTAAGCTAAAAGATAAAATATCGATTTGTATACAAATTACCTGAAAGTATTGAAATCAACTTTTATTAAAGAAATTTTCTTCAGAAATATTTATTTACAAATATCGAAAGTTACATTTCCACTACAGATCCATTACAATTATGATATACTTATTTCATGACCCCTTTATTTCCTATCGCTTTTACTTACTGACCCCTTTATTCCCTGATTCTCCTCTTTACTAATCCCTTTACTTCCGGATCCCCCAATTTCATGATAGCCTTAATTTCTTAACCTTTTTAGTAACTGATCCTTTTATTCCCTGATCACCTTATATACTAATCCTTTATTTATTGATACCCTTATTTCCTGATCCTATTTTTCTTTGGTCTCTGTTTTCCGGTCCCCTTATTTCCTGACATATTTATTT